TGGGCTGTTAGGTCCCTGTATGACCGGTGTCAGAGCCTGGTCCGCATTGCCGGCGGTAAGTCGGACTTGTTCCCGGTGAGAGTTGGACTCTGCCAAGGTTGTCCTTTGTCACGATTCTGTTCATAACTTTTATGGACAGAATTTCTAGGTGCAGCCAAGGTGTTGAGGGGATCTGTTTTGGTGGCCTTAGGATTGCGTCTCTGCTTTTTGCAGATGTTGTGGTCCTATTGGCTTCATCAGATTGTGATCTACAGCTTTCGCTGGAGCGGTTCGCAGCCGAGCGTGACGCGGCCGGGATGAAGATCAGTTCCTCCAAATCCGAGGCCATGGTCTTGAGCCAGAAAAGGGTAGAGTGCCCACTCCGGGTCAGGGAGGAAGTCCTACCCCAAGTGGAGGAGTTCAAGTATCTTGGGGTCTTGTTCATGAATGAGGGAAAAATGGAACGTGAGATCGATAGGCGGATAGGTGCAGCATCTGCAGTGAAGCAGGTGCTGTACAGGTCTGTCGTGGTGAAGAGAGAGCTGAGTCAAAAGGCAAAGCTCTCAATTTACTGATTGATCTATGTTCCTACCCTCATCTATGGTCATGAGCTTTGAGTTGTGACTGAAAGAACGAGATTTCGGATACAAGCAGCCGAAATGAGTTTTCTCCGCAGGGTGTCTGGGCTCTCCCTTTAGAGATAGGGTGAGAAGCTCGATCATCCGGGAGGGACTCAGAGTAGAGCCACTGCTTCTCCATGTTGAAAGGAGCCAGTTGAGGTGGCTTGGGCATCTGTTTAGGATGCCTCCTGGACGCCTAGGATGCCTCCTGGACGCCTCCCTGGTAAGGTGTTCCGGCCTCATCCCACCGGGAAGAGGCCCAGAGGAAGACCCAGGACACGCTGGAGGGACTATGTTTCTCGGCTGGCCTGGGAACGCCTCGGGATTCCCCCGGAGGAGCTGGACCAAGTGGCTGGAGAGAGGGAAATCTGGGCCTCCCTACTTAGGCTGCTACCCCCGCGACCCGACCCCGGATAAGCGGAAGAAAATGGATGGATGGATGGATGTTTTTTCTGCATATTTATGACCTAATTTTTGATGGAGAGCTAACAAGTTCATTCATTCTGACATGAAAAATATTAAACATTACCATTTGCAGTCACTAGAGGGCCGTTGAGCTTTATGGCAAGCCAAGTGTCTCATTAATAGGTAAAATTGGCTATTAATGAGACACTTGGCTTGCCATAGCGGCCACCTTCGTCTCTCTCCAGAACTCCTGGAGCGTACGTCAAATCAGCTTAATTTCACCGTGCCGCCCAGGTGAAATGCAGCTCATTTGACCGTTAAAGTGCATTTATTAAGGAAAAGTTCAACTGAGACACACCTTTGCCATGATGTTGAGCAAACAAATAATTGTTTTTAAGTGTTAATCTTGTTAAATTCTTGTTAAAGTCCTCACATGCCCACTCCCGCAGTCGCCATTTTGGCAGCCAATCGATTTTTGGCACAACACCGGCCCACGTTTCCGGGTAGCAGTAACGCATAACAAACGCGACGCGTCGCACAACAGATGCGACTTATACGGCAAAGCGACTTATTTATGTTTTTTCCACTTTATTAGACATTTTTGGGCTGATGTAACTCATACTGCGGTGCGACTTGTACGGCGAAAACTACGGTAAATAGTTTTTTAAGTGTACACATTTCAAACTACACATGTAGTAAAATGTCTCTCAAACAAATGATCAAACACATGTGCATGAATCTAGCACACACCCAGGTCAGTGACGGAGACGCGAGGACGGTGGTTCCACAGTCTGGGTGCAGTAACTGGAAAGGTCCAATCACTCCAACGTTTGGGCCTTGGGACATACAGTAAAGATGTATTAGTTGACTTTAAGGTAAGCTACTAAATCATATAAATAAGGTGGGAAAAGACCAGTAAGAGCTTTAAAATTAAGTAATAACGTTTAAAATCAATTCTGAAACAGACTGGAAGCCTGAATAAAACAGGTGATGTGCTCACATCTGTGTGTTAGTTAAAATCAGTTTTGTGCACGTTGATGGCGTCTGATGGGAAGATTGGGAGACTCCAACATGCAGGTAGAGCTGACAAAAGCACGAACAGCCTTTTCTCGGGTTACTGGAAACAACATATTTCTGACTTAGCACACAGCTCATAACCTCTATCCTGAAACAGTCGTTCAAACGAGAAAGTTTGACAAATTGTTCATGCATTTCTGAATCTTGTGGTGCTTCTTCAAACCTTGTATGCTTTTCAGAATATTTTTGAGCAACATTGCTGCTTCACCATGCAGTTTCTTGTTAACAGGATTTTTCTTTGATGTAAGTTCAAAAACAAATTCAGCTCTTTATTCTTTATCAGTTGATATGACAAAGACCACGTTGTTTTGCACTGAGTTAAATTGTGTGTGCATATTCAAATACCGCTGAAGAACTGAAAAGTGTTTTGTTGAATTTTAACCTATGTTGTAAGAGAAAAAAAAGTAGACAGGAGAAAGAAGTCTCATTCCATTTTATTGATAAAATCATCAGTATAAATATAATTACCGTTATCATTGTTATTGAAGAAATCTTCTGTTCTGACATGAAGAAAGAGCACCATCTGTGCCAAGATTCCCAAATAATCTGAATTCTGAGGCAGCATGTCCATGATCTCTGGTTGTTTCGCAGTTAAAAATCACATTAATCTAATCAGATTAACAACGTGTTGATATGAATGTAAACTGATTTATTTCCATTATTGTCATGTTATGCCTCTGTCCAGCAGGACTCCAAATGACAACATACAAAAGTAAAAAAAAAAGTTTTACCATAACTTTTTCATACAACAATAATAACAATAGTCATACTTATATTAACAATTTACCCATGAAAGGGTAATAATTAAAAATTGCACCATATTGTTGAAAACCGTACAAAAGCAATTAGCTCTGCTCATGTTAAACAATAATGCAGTAGAGTCTCATTTTCCATCTGACTGCTTGCACTGATATTTGTTTTTTTAGAGACTGAATATTGGTTAAAAAAATAAAAAAATATCATTAAAAAGGATTCATGAATTAGAAGGAATAATTTTTTGCTTCTTTTTGGTTTTAGATCTCTTCTTTGGCAGCACAATCAGAAAGAATTAATTTTAGCGACTCCATAAAGTTCAGCTAACTGATAGCTAACAGATAAACAAATAGCACACAGCTAAAAGATAGCAAATAGCTTGTAGATAGCTAACAGATAGCTAAGACATAGAGAACAGATAAAAGACAATTGGATAGCTAACAAATAGCTATAGCAGCTATTTAACAGATAGCTAACACATAACAGATAGCAGATAGCTAACAGATAGCTAACAAGTAGCACATTGCTAACAGACCTTTTAACAGTGCCCAAATTATGCGCATGTGTAAAATATGGCACCATGTGCCTCTACTTCTGGTATTCAAGATCAGCTTTCAGATTTAGTCATTGGGTCCTTTATACCTGTTTTTTTTATTATTTACTTTTATATACAAACATATTCATAACTTAATTATTTTACATTAGTGAAATGTCCTTAACGAGCAATTATGCAGAGTGTGGGGATGACTGCACAGCACAGCTGAAACACAAGTAGATATAAATATCGTTCAGACAGTTTTTCAATAAACCAGAAGTAATCATGAATATATTTAGACCACAATGCATCGCCAGATACAATGAGCATGTGTAAGATTAACTGTAAAAAGGTCAGTAGCAGATAGCTAGCTAAAATAAAAATAATAATATGCATCAATATGTGTTACAACTGTTCATAAGTGATGTGCCAATCAAGCCAGCATTTACAGAAAATAAAAAAATACAGTTTTTATAGTCTTACCAAAGTACCAAAAACAAGACCTATTTCAGTACCTTTCTTATTACGACCAATTTTTTTTTAAAGAAACTAAAAATCAAAATGATCTTTTGAAGTGGGGTTCTCCTAAAATACCTATTACTTCAGCTTATCAGATAGATGAGTTAAACACTAAAGTGAACTGATGACATCTTAAAACTGCTCCATTTTCAAATAATATGTAGCAGTTAAAATAAAAAAAAATTTTTTTTTAAACCTTTACCTCATTCTCAATATCACATTATACAAAAACGTTAACAGTTAACACTCCTGGCTGCAACAAAAGAGCTACAGCTAGCTGCTGCCGCCACTATTAGTGGTTTCTAAGAATTATCCAGTTGTATGTAAACAACTGTGTAATATAAAACTAATGGTCAGTCAAAGATTTATTAATTAGTATTTGTATAAGATACTTTTGAGACTGGAGTTGTTTTAAGACGACAGTTTTGGTTCTGGCTTCACTTTGACTAGACGTTAGCTCATTAATTGTTGCTGTCTCAAAAACAACTCCAGATTAAAACATTTTGCAGAACATATGCAAATATAGCTTATAAATCTTTACATCACTATCCATTTCAAGTGACACTGGGTTTTTATTTTAACATCCCTTCGTAAAGTGCCACAAGCGTCACTAGAAGTGCTAAAGCTAGCTAGCTGCTGCTATTTTAACTTGTAAAAAAACATAGTATGCTAAATAAACACCTAAGTAATGTAACATTGAGAGTAATGTAAAGGTTAAAAAACATAATAATAAGCGTTTGGAATGACCAATTTGAAATTTTACATATTTAAGACAACAATAACCCACTTTGAGATTAGCTTGTTAGCTTAGCTCGTCAATCCCAACAGAATTAAACTGTTTTTCTAATTTGAAGTAAGATAAAATTGTTATAAACCTTTCTACAGAATCGTGCTTCGAACAATTTAAATTGTTGCTTTAAATAAAAATTAGGACCACTTTATTTTTTATTTTGTTTAAGATCCACTGGCTACTTAGGCTACTACCGGTACTTTTGTATGCATACACTTTGTGTTGATTTTATACCGAGGTCGGATTTCTGAGGTCTTTTTTAAAAAGTACGGTAGAATAAAATATTTAAATCAACAAATATAAAAACAAAAGTGCTAAACCAAGAAAACAAAGAAGAATACCACTGTTAAAAAGTACCCAATGACTGTCAAACAGAGCAACAAAGATGAATAATATGGTAAAAGTTAAACTGAAAACATGTTTTAAATGAGCGATGATCAGACAGCAGTTCAGTTGGAGTCGTCCAGTCAAATAAAAACAACGTGATGTACTTTTGATTATTTTAAAGGCAGGAGGAAGTTTGTTGATGAGTCTGGGTATGTTCTTGATTTCTGCACATAAACAGCACATGTAAAATGTTGACATATACAAATATATTTTTCCTGATTTCAGTTTCATGGGAATTATTTTTCCTTTCGTAGCACTTACAAACCACCAAACATAATGTCCCCTTTTTATTTCTTCCTCACAGTTGCTCATTGAACTTTCTGTTCTTCTGTTTTACGGTCTTATTCAATCGTTGTCCACTTCTCATTCCCTCCATCTCCTCCTTCTTTCTCTCTGTTTCTCTTCCGCAGTCTTTCAGTCACCTGTTGGTCTGTCTACTCTACACCTTATCCAGCAGTGATCTCTGACAGTAGAGGAGGCGCCGAGGCGTGCCATACTTCCTGAAGAACAAAAGTGCTCCCAGAGTGACCAACACCAGCACCAGCAGAAGGACTGGAATCACCACGCCTGCCACCCATGAGCCTCCGTCCGATTCTTCAATGATGATCACCGTCCGACCCTTCTTGGGCTCCTCGCTTTCACAGCCCATCCAGTCACGGAGCACTGACTTGGGGTAGCCGGACTCCACCTTCATGTGCTGGTTGTTGAACTTCCAGTACTTATTGGCCTTGTAGAAGTAAGTGTAAGCTGGAGGAGGGGGGGAGATGAAGAGAAGCAGTTTTAATTCATGTTTTGGACAATAAAATGTCCAAAATGATCATAAATACCTACCACAGATTCTAAATGTTCAGTACAAACACTAACTTTAGAAATAAATGTAAACAAACTGTTTCTTTTTTGGTGATTTGTTGTATTTCTATTTATTAAAGACACACTTAAGTCAAGGGTTCTTTAGTCATTCGCATCACATGTGGTACATGTGGTGGAACAAAACTGTGTACACATGGTCCCAAATTACATCCAACAAAAGTATAAATAGTAAATTAATACAGTAGTAAGATCTAAGATATGAATTAAGAAATACGCTAAACTAAGAATACGTTAAACACTAATAGTACTTTGTACAAAAAACAATACGCCAAACTAAAACTTTATATAAAAGAAAAACCTACATCCATCTTCGCTCATGAAGGCAGCTTTAATATTGTCTGGTGCTCCGCTCCACTTGCTGATGGGCTTCGGACTGTCGCTGTGCACTCTGCGAGTCTGATCGTTAAAGCGGTAATATCTGTATGCGACACAAATAAATAAATATTAATAACGTGAAATACATTTCTTAAACAAGCGGTACTTGGTCACTGAGGGATTTGATGTATGTTTTCTGGACTGCAATTGAACAGGGAATGCAAGTGAACCTAATGGTTTTGGTGCAAGATGTTAAAGTGGGGAGGAGTTATAATGTGTATACATTTTTATTGTATTTATTTATTTTTGCTTGTCCCAGGCAGCCCAGATTAACAGATCCTGGCGAGTGGAGGAAGCAATTTTATCCATGACCAGGCGCAATGACAGAGCCAGGGGGTGGTCCACCATAGATTAATCTTTGGCCACCCCAGTCATTTGAGGAAACTATACTTTTAAACAATGTAAAAACTAGAAAGCACAGTTTCCTCAAATGGTAGGGGTAGCCGATTTACAAATATATATGGCGGTGTTCATCTTGGATCTTGACTCGGCAACCTAATTTTTGATAATGACCTTTTGTACATGCAACGGCACACCAAAGTGGACGTCAACGCGTTGCTTATTTTTCAAGTTATCCAGCCCACAAGTTTAATATATATGCATATATGGTGGCAGCCATACCTCGCTCAGATAATATAGCCCTCTGACAAATTATTTTAGCAATTATGTAGATTCTTAGATAAATAGTTAGTTGTTTAATTTACTGTACTATATTATTTGCAAACTCTCAAATAGTATTATTACCAAAATTTTAAGTTTATGATGGTTGATATGATAATTTGTTTTAGAATATGTTGACCTTAGGAGGTAGGATTGTAGATATTTGTATATGTTTATATGTATCATTGTAATTTGAGATTGTCATTTGTTGTTCTATTTGTGTTCTTTTGTTCTGTATGTTCAGTAGTTCAATAAAGTTAAAAAAATATATATATATATATGGTGGCAGCCATTTTGAATTTTGACGTAGCAACAAAATTTTTGAAAACAATCTTTCTTACACCTAGATTTAGCCTCACATCAAAATGGAAATGGTTATCATGCTCACAACATGCACAGACGGACGAAGTGTATTTCCAATTCCCCCTTTTCGCCCCACGACAAGGGACAAATATGAAAGTTTTTGTGAATTTTTAAGCAAATCCCATGTTCAGGATACAAATTGTTATTGTTATAGAACATTTTAAAGGATTTATTTAAAGAGTCTAATGACATCTATTCTTTTAAATATACAGTGCAACAACGTGAAATCACTCTCTAAGTCAGTTAATGTAGTGAGTAGACCAAGCAAAGACGGCTAGTATAAGAGGAGGCTAGTTAATTTAGAGCTTGTTGACCCGTTTGGTCTACTAAAGAAAACTTTTAGTACAATGTTGCAAACAGCAGGACGGACCAATAATGGAGTCAAAATTGATTTTTCTAAGAAGATTAAATTACAAAGATTAATTTTTACGCAATTTATACATGTACAAACTGTAAAAAGAGCATGGACTTACTCAGTTCCTCTGAAAAAGTATGTCTGTCCTGTTGGAGTGTAGAAAAGAGCAGCGTCGATCCTGTCTTTGGGTAGACCAGTACCCAGGTCTCTCAGGCTCTTTGGAGAATCCTTCTCCATGGTGGACTCACTGAAAACCCAGTATCTGTCGCCTGGACATGACCATCGAGAGAGGAGATTGAAAACACAGACACAGGAAATGGTAAAAAAAAGCAGTAATATATTCAACCCAAATCTGCTTTGTACCCTAATCCCAGGGGGAACCTACCCTTGAAGAAGACAAACTTCCCATCTTCCCTCTCGTAGGCAGCATTGATGTTTGAAGGGAGGCCTTTCCAGGACTGACCAGTAACTCTGGGGTAACCAGGCAACACCTTGTTGTTGCGAATACGCCAAAACCACTCGTCCTGCAAACACAAGCGTATTCAACTTTATTCATGAACAACATGCAAATTAACTAAACAGATTACTGAACTGAATGCAGACTATTTTTGGTAATTTATACAAGTTGAATAATGATTAAAATCTCATAAGAACAAGAGATAATCAAATCTGTTTTTGGAAGGCTTTGAATTCAGACAATAATTTATACTCATGGCTTTAGGAACATATAGTTATTTCTTTTCGGCACCTTAAAAACAAACTTTTCCCCCCTGAGGATGGCGATGGTGTCAAAGTGTCCCTCACAAATGTCGGGTCCGTCGTCTGGTTTGTCGGGCTTGGATGGTTTGGTGGGACGAGGAGGAGGAGGAAGTACTCCAGACTTTGTTCCTGTTGTGGAAGACAGAGAAGTGCACCTTCTTGTGTCTTATTGCTTCATAATCTGTAGAGTGCAATCTTTATTTGAACGTGCAAATATGTCATTTTTATCTCTCACGTTCTCAAGTTTTATTATATCTTATTTATTATTTAATAATTTACATTCTAACTAGTAGGTTTCCCATTTCCCTTATGAAACTACCAACCATAAATGGACTGGATGCCTCTGCGGTCATCGTCTGGAAGCTGGAAGTTTTCTGTATCAAACCACTGGTAGAAAGGGGCCATGATGGCAGAAGGGTCGTCAGAATGTTCCAGACCCAGAGCATGACCCAACTCATGGACCGCTACCAGGAAAACGTCATTTCCTTCAGAGAGAAGGGGAAAAAAGTGAGAAACGAAGGGTAAATTTAACCTGCTGATAACATGGCATTCTTATTTCGCCGTATCTCACCTCCTTGATCCACGTTCCCGGTGGTCCAAGGTTCAGCAAGGTCAAAGTGCGTGTCTCCTCCAATGCCATGACCAGGAAAGTAAGCATGAGCCAGAAAGCCACCCTCACCATCAAATGGTGTGCTGTCCCCGTGAAAACCTTCTGAGAAGGACAGCATGATGTCTGCGTACTTGTCAACTTTGCCTCTGATCTGACTGAAGGGGATTTCTCGAAACGTCAATGGGATGGCACTCTCCCACACTCGGAAGGCTTTTCGGATGGCGTCAAACGTCGCTCGTTCACCCACTTTGGGCGTGTAGTTCTCTATGCTGTGGTGGAGAACAAAGAGGAACTTAAGGTTTGTTTTTATGTGCCTTTTAAAACTAAACATCAAACTGAAAATCGGTATGTGGCAATATTCCCCGATTTTGAACTAGACAGAGGAAATTGTCAGCAGAAGCCTTAAATTCTGTAAAAGCACGTGCTTGCACAACAGCAGAGAGGAAAACTGATAAAAGGATACTGCTCAGTGTGTATTCTGACCTGAAGGTCACCTCAGACTTGTCCCACTTCAGACCTTGCCTAGCGTATCTCTTCCTCCTCAAATTGGTTTTCAGTTCTGGACCAAACTTATCTGGAACGCCACACCGTGGCCGCTTCATTGCCCTGATACCAACAGAATTCAGTTTTTTGTAAATATCTGCAAACTGCTCAGATTCAACAATGAGATACAACCATTTTCAAGCAGGTGCATGTGAGTGATTCAATACGTCATTGGGACTCACTCTAATGTGTTGGTATCTATGGAGCCGGTGACGGTCAGTCCATAAAGCCTCTGCATGGCTGATATCGCTGCTTCAATGGACTTGGGTGAGCGGAGGGCCTGGGCTCTTACATCACCTGGAGGCAAGTAGCCATACTGCTGAAGCCATGCCTACATAAAACAGATATGAGTGAAAATAAAAAAAATGGTAAATGGTTCACACTTTAGGGTTACAGCGGTTTAGTATACTTGCCAAAGGACACTTTGGCACTCTACAGTGGTTGGGGATCAAACCCTTTGATAGAGGATAACCTCCTCTACCCAATGGGCTAAACCACCCCCTAAACAAAGTAATTAACAAACCTTGAGTGTAATTTTCTTACAATGGTGAGAACCTTGTTGATCAAATAGATTTTTTGTTGACAGCACTGGTACTTTGGTGTGATAATTCTGTTGATTTGCAATTGTGACCATAAAATGGTATTACTGTGCTAAGACATTTTGGATGCAAACGCTGTTTGTCTATGACAGCTGGAGACGGACACCAGCTCCCTGTGACCCTAAATCCAGGAACAAGCAAAAAAATGGATGGATGGACTCTTAAAAAATAATATTCTCAATTTTCTGCTGATTTTTTACCCATAAGCTGCTATTTTCATACCCATCTGCTCGCAACAGACTCATGTTCAGGCTGCTGTTTAATAAACATATATTATTATTGTTTAGCGCATATCTTAGATCCTATACTGTTTCTTTTTTATAGTTTATATTTTTGATATTTTTGGGTGTAACTGGGACCTTGAGTACCCAATTTCGTTCCACCTCATGTACCACATGTGATACAAATGACAATAAACAACCTTGAACCTTGAATAAGTTAATGGTTTTATACTGATGTATCAATCCAAACATGACTTTTTTTTAACAGCAACATCAAGTCATTTGGGGAACATTTAAAAAACTGCAAATTTTATTTATTAAACACATATATTGTGATTTTTGAATTGCAGAAATATGATTTCTGGCCTTCAAAGCAAAGAAAACAAATGATAAAATGTAAAACGAGACGTAAAACACTTCCAAGCAGGATGTAATTTGTATATTTCTTTTAAAAAGTAAAAATAATACTGTTGCACAGGGCTACTTTGGTCTTGATATATTTGGTTCTGTTTTTATATGTTGTGCTTACCAAAAGAACACAACTAAAGCAAAGAGGAACTCTTAAAAAAAAAAAAACACTTGTATAATCACGCCATTGCAATTTTTGTTTCTGTTTTCCTTTTCTTTTCGAGTTTTCAGTAACGCTCTGCTTTGTGTTAGTTGTGGGCGGCAGGAAAAAGACAGACAAAAACACCCAAAAATCCTCTTAGTTGGCAAAATGAAGGGATTGGCCACTTGTATGAACGAACGCATGTTTGTTTGCTCGTAGACGATTTTCAGTCTGTCTAGACCTGCTTCTCTGAGCTCATCTGTATCCCACAAACTTCATGGTAATCCACGGAGACAACGGTTGCACATGTGTGTGTGTGTGTGTGTGTCAAGCTGACTTGTTAACGTTTCCCTCCAGTAGCCAACATAAACTAAACTCAGCTTGCTACATTTATGTTTCTTTTAATTTTCCTGTGACTGTCAATTTCCCATTTACGAACTTATAAAAGCAAAACTATCTCATGCTGAACTCATTAAAGTAAACTTTGTTGTGGCATCGTATGGTTGGTGCTCGGCAGAGGAACAAAAGACAAATAAAACACAATCTCCAAACCCTGATGTCATTTTAGACACAATGACCCAAATCTCTGTGTAGTTAATTGTAGCCAAAGACAATTGGCAACTTCAACGGTGGAAAAAGTAACAATTTCGGCAACATTTAAGATCTTCAAAGCTTGACCTTCCATGCTGCTACTGTATCTATGTCTGTTGCCGTCTGTCGACTCCTCAGCTGAAATCACCACTATTTATCATTTTCACACATGAAAGCGAGCCTTCTTTTTCCTATTATACACTGCTGGTGGTCTAATATTGGACTGACATACTGTTAAAGGAAAGTAGATTTGAGGTTATTGGAAAACGTACTCAAAAGTACGACTCCGAAGTAAGCTACGAGACAATTAGATTAGCATAAAAACAGACAATGAACCAAACTGCTAGCATATTTTTTCCTAAAGTTTCTTATTTGTTAAAATTTCAAATGATCACATTACGTACTGTTTTAATTTATCTACACATCCTAAAAAAGAAGGACGAGGTTTATGGGAGGTTGACGTTGCTCATTTTTAGCAGCAACTTAGCAGCAACAGGTATGCTGCAGAAAGAAAAGCTTTGCAGAGAGTGGTGAAGGCTGCACAGAAGTCTGTTGGAGTCAGTTTCCCCACCATCACAGACATCTACACCTCCAGATGCAGGAAGAGGGCCACCTGCATCATGAAGGACCCCACTCACCCAGCACACACACTCTTTGCCCCGCTCCCCTCAGGCAGGAGGTTATGGAGCATTAAGTGTAGAACCACTAGACTGAGGAACAGCTTCTACCCTGAGGCTGTTAGACTCATGAATCTATAATTAGAAAAATCACTGTAATAAAAAAAAGAAAATCACTGTAATACCACTTTAATATATGATATATGACTTATCTGCGCTGCTGATCTCATGCTGCTGATTATATCTTGCTGCTGTATTCATTCATACCCATACTCATTACAGACTCATGTTCGTGCTGCTGTTTAATATACCGTATTATTTTACATTATTAGTTTTTAGTGTATATCATAGATCTTTTAGCACATTGTTTAGCATTAGTGTATATCTTAGATCCTTGTATACTGTTTCTTTTTATACTTTATATTTTCTTTTTATACTATTTTTGGTTGTAACTGGGACCCTGAGTACACCGTTTCGTTCCACCTCATGTCCCACATGTGAATGACAATAAAGAACCTTGAACTTAACTGTTAGCGCTCTATAAAAGCCAAGCTAGCTGTTTCAATATGTGCAGCTAGATAACTAAAAAGCTGTTTTTTTTTGTTGTTTTTTTTGAGCAGCAAAGGAGCTATTTGAATTTAAAATGTGTTCTTGATTTTTCGTTTGCTCCCACAGAGTTAACGCACGTTTACTTCTTCTCAAATTGGTAGAATTATCCAGAAATTCCTTTGTTAGCATAATCTAAAGCTCAGATATCGCGCTCGTTCCACCGTCTGTGCTGGTTTTCTCTCCAGACCTGCCTCCAAAAACAAGGGCAAAGCACAGGGAGGGATGGAAAATTTAAAAAAAAATTTAAAAAAAAATGTAAAAAACGAGCCCGACTACCAAGCCATACAAACCTGAACACACATGACCTCTGTTGGTCACGTGGTGGGCAGCGAGGCCAGAGAACAAGGGTCATTTATGACAAGCCGTAGAGAAGCACTCTATTCCTCTTCTTTCTACATGTTTCTAATGAGTTTAACAAGTTCTTCAGGGCTTTTCAGGACCATTCAAGCATCCAGTTAATCTGCTTCACTCACTGACTCTCTCATAAGTATACTTTCTGTGCCTCTGAGGCTGACTGCTGCTAGTGTGTCCTGTGGCTCCACTGTGGTGACGTGTCTGCTTCTATAAAAACACTCCCCCCGTGCCGTAAAGACCTCCACTTCTCTTTAGTAGTCCCAAACTGCTCCACACACCGCCGCCACCATCTCCGGTCAGCCCTGAAGGTATCCCAGCATGCACCCCTCCTCCCTGGAACTTCCAGCAGCCTCCATCAAAGCCTCTATTTATTGAGACTTGTACATGGCTGCCATTGTTGGCCGGTTAGCTTACGACACAACCATGTGTGGTCAAAGGGCTGACTGCTGCTTGGGTAAACACAACCCTTGGTTTTACAGTGACGAGTGGTCTAAAGTATACTAAGACATTGGATGTACATTTGATAAAGGAGGTTATTTTGGTTGAACTGTGTGATTTGTGAATCTGTTAACCTTGTCATGACCTTACTTTAGGATAATTAGTTTCAATAAAAAGCTCAGTGTTGCTTCAAAGTCTGTTTTGAAGACAGATGGGACATTTTAAACGCAAGCAGAAATGCATAATGCAGAGATTTTCTACAGAAAAATACACTGAAAGAATAAAATAACAGATGAGTGCGTGTATGAACATTTAGTTACAGAGATTGGTGTTCACATGGCATTAACAGTTCCCCAGGACTTAAAAAAAATACAAGTTTAACATTTTATTTGTATTTTTTTTTCTGTATTCCAGTGTCGGTCTGAAAGAAGCAGTGGTCTAGTCGACATTTTTGTAGAGGGTATACTGTGCTTAGAAACCAAAGTGCACCGGTTAGTACAATGTAATCGTCAATTTATTTAGATTTTTAAGCATAGTGAACATTTCCATATTTCTTTGACGCTTATATTTGAATAAATGCACAAAAAGCTTTGTATTAAAAACATGTTATAGAATTTATACAACAGTATCAACGCAAAACATGTTCAAGTATTAAGTAGTAAGTACAGAATTATACAATAATTCAATGGACACGCGAATGCAATAAACAAGCGCTGCAGATAGATAGATTGTTACGGAAGCGTTTAACTGCTGTTTAACGTATCAATGACAAGTGCCCAATGATATGCTACATATCACTGGACACTTCTGAGTGGGTATACTGAAATTCTTAAGCATTTTTTAGTGGGTATACTCTGTATACCTGCGTATCGCATAGACTACACCACTGGAAAGACGGACTATAGATGAGGGTCAGGGACGGCAGAGAGTGACCTCAGAGTTACAGAAAAGAACGAGGTAAAAACCTTTTAAAGAGGAGTGGGCAGAGAGGGTTTGGATGATGGTTTTATTTAGGTTTAAGGACTTGAGTCATTTGTTCCTGTCTCTCTGTGCCAATGGAAAAAACTTTTTCTGCTGAATTTCATAATGTCATCATTTCTTGGCAATTCTGACCTAGTTAGGACTCATATAAATACCATAAAATGTATTTTCCACTTTTTTTTTAACTTTTCTAACTGATTGGATAATTCAGTCACTTAAGGTTTTTTTCTGTAAATTGTAAAGTTTTAGTAAATGAATCTTAAACACAATACAGCTGCAGGTTAACCTTTAAAAATGTTTTCTTTGTTTGAAGACAGGGATCTTTGCTCAGAAATACTACATTTGGCCATAAATTGGATGAACGACTTACA